TTTTTTTTCTACTTTAACTTTACAGTTCACTTTTGGAAACAATCCAAAACATTGTGTGGAGGGTAGCTAGGTGGGAGGAACATTTAATGTTTTAAAGGATTACCAGACTTAGGTGCTACATTTCGAGGTGTTGCTTTTCAGCAGTGCCATTATACCATACTGTCTGCTATTTCTCTAAGTGTCATCAGCTTGTCAGCTCATAAGCAGCTGTAAACCTTTGTTCCTCCCCAAGTCTCATGTTCAGTGAAGTCAATCGAAGTCTGCAAAGAGCGTTGTGTCAGGAATACTTATTTTTTTTGCAGGGAATTTAAAGATAAACATTTCACTTCAAAATTAACATAGTTGTGTTGCCACAGCAAAAGGAAGCAACAACACATTTCTCAGTGGATTATTAAAAGTCCTGAAAACAGAAGCRGTGCCTGGGAGGCTGCACTCAGAAAGTACTTAAAAACGTAAAAATCATTGGAATGTGCAAGTAATGGGAGCAAATTATAAAATAAACCAAATAAAAATATCCTGACATGGCAAGATGAGCATTCCATACCAAGCCACACACATCCTAAGTTTCCCTGTTGATACTTACGTCAAAAGGCAAAAAATCCATTGTTTGACTTTTTATAAAACAAATATATATTCTCAGAATGCATTGAGATTTACTAAAGAAAAAATAAAATTCTAAGATTTTTTTTTTAAAATCAGTGATGCACAGAAAGCCAGGAGAGCAAATGGCATTCCTGTCTTTCCACCTTTTTGTAGGCACCAACAGAAAAAAAAACAGGTGAATCTTTTTAAGCCACCAGTATATGGGACTGTTGACCTAGTAACTTATCACTTCAAGGGTTACACTATCTGAAATACTAAAATAAACATAAACAAGCAAAAAACCCTAAAAACAACAACAAAAAAACCCCCAAAAGCCCCCAATCAAAACTAAACAAAAATCACAACCAAAAATCCCCAAAAATCTGTAGTATTCTTAAACAATTCTAGCATACAGTGTCTCTTACAGGAATGCAATATTAGTTATTTATATGAAATATAAGTAGCTGAACAATTTTTAGGGCTGCTGAACTGAACTTAGAATCAAATGCTTCATTGTTAGACAGAGACAGTAGGAAAAATTAAAGATCATCTGACCGTGTCTTGGATATGAAAAACAAAACATCTCCAATTAAATTTTTGAATAATTCCCAAGGTGTTATTCCAAGAAGACAGAAATGTTTACAGGGAAAGGAGATGGAAAAATATAATCTTAACTATTTCTGTGGATGAGAGATCAGAGTTACAAATCTGGCTTTATTTGCTTTTAAAAAAGACATGAATCTGTAAGCATTCTAAGGATATCAGAACTTAATACAGGGTGAGGTATTAAAAGAAAGTAATAAAGTTACATGCTATTCTTCTAGAGATATTCAGCTGTTCAGGAAGCAGGCAGAGCATTAGGACACTTCAACTTCACTGAATGCTGTTTCAGGTGGTTTAGCTATTGATTCTTCAGAAATTAAGCACAAGAAAAGGAGTAACTAACACATTTCTGATTATAAATCTGCAAAATTATATTGCTGCTGTTGCTATTGCCTTTTATGCAAGCAGGGTAAATAAGATATCCGTGGTCATATTATTTGGACAGTAATTTTGTTCCCACTTCCTCTGGATACTATATCTCATTCTGAAACTGCATTAAGCATGCATAGAAATAATACCTTTTTTTTTTCTTGCTGCTTAAGTATAATCACATCTGAAAAGATGAAAGATATTAAACACTAATTAAATTAAGATAAAGAAAACAGAGAATATATATCAAATACAAGTCTTGGGAGAGAGGACATTATCTCAAATTGAAAACAAAAAAAGAAAAAAGAAAGGGGCACCAAATTGAGGACTCCTAAAATACAGAACTATCTCTTTCCCCTCCTCCTCCTCCTCTCTCTTTTCTGTTTTACTTCTTTCACCTCYCCCCAAATGAGTGGTTTTTGCTTTAACTTGACAAGTATTTCACAGTTTCTCAAGCGTTTTGCAATGAGGATCTAATTGGAAAGTGCCAGGTTCTTTCTTATTACACATTATCAATATTGTTAAAGGACTGATGTAATTGTTTGGGGTTTGGAGAAGACATTCCATGTCACTTCAGTGTTAATACCAGGCTGGAGCCTTCCTTGTCTGCCTGCATAAGCTAGATAAACATAGACCTGTGTGCTTTCTTCTCATCTCAGGATACTTACTCAGAGAGATCTTGGAACATATGCCTATTGCGAGCTAAACATTTCACTTTTCATTTTATCCATGTGCCAGAAATCCATTCCTTGGATAAACACTTTACATACTGACACTCTTAAAGTCACTAAACACGATAAATAAAGAGAGAATACTTCATTTCAAAACTGATTAAACATTTTCTCACTTGTGACAAATGAACAGCTATACACTATATGGAGTCCATGGAGCAGATACTCCATTTTCATTGTCTTCATTTTGTGTGTAAGATTAACTTTCCATTTCAGCTCATCTATTGCACAACTAAGCTTTTTAAAAATACACATTGCTGCATTTTCCCAAAATCATTATTCATTTCAGAAACATTTGCTGTTGTTGCTGCAAGACCTTTTCTTTCGGGCTTTTGTATTTTAAATGAGACAAACTAACAAAGAAAATACTAATAATTAAAAAAAACCAAACAACATTTTTAATGAAAACTAAAGAAATGCTTTCATGCATTAGACCTGAACTTATACATGAGTTGAAGTAATCCACTTCAACAAGAAAAATCCAAGCACATTAATCACATTAACTTTGCTTCATCTAATCCATCACTTTTCCTTGCACTACTTGCTTGTCTCCTCATCCTATGCACTGCTATCTACCTATGATTAGCCAAATGCAACTAATCTTCTGTTTAGTTTCTTTAGCTCTCATCTTCTTTTTCACCCAACCCTGCCAAAAAGGATCCTAAGCATTTTATTTCCAAGCAAGATCAAAAATCTTAGTGAAATATTCACACATAATCTTAAAACTATATATGAATTAATCTTCAGTGTTTTAACAAATACCACTAATCAACAACAATTCAGTTCAGTGGAAGGAAGAAAGAAAATACAGCCTAGATACTACTAAATGTGGTCCTAGCATAATTCCTTATGTGTTCTACAAAAGATTATGTCTGTGAATATTCTTGCTAGATATTCACAGTAAAGAGGAACAATGAAGGAGAGTTTTCTTCTTTGGCAAACTGTGTAAAAGGAGCTGCTACACTCAACATAGGGAGAGAAGAAAGACTTAAGATAAATCAGGAGAAGCAGACGAAAGTGAATGAGAATCCCTGGAGCAGTTCGCTTTCTTCCCCCCTTATGCTAAGTAAACCAATGGGAAGTTTTTGATGTGATGACTCCAGTCTCATCAGGGAAAAATATTAGAATGGAAAGTAAATTTAACATCAAAAGATAGCAGTAAATCACAAGAAGTCTGAACAGATTGCAGATTCCACTGCCATTAGATTTCTGTCACCTCTGGATTTGTACGCCAGTGCATTTTCCAAAATACAAACAATTTCATAAAAGACCACTCAGAGATCACAAATTCTCTCAACAGAGCCATCTTCTCTCAAAGTTTTATTGTGAAGGAAAATTTTAAAGATAATTATTATGTACCTGAGCAGATAACATACCTAAAAAATTCCAGGAATGCCTTTCATTTATGTGAGGGAGAGGTATGACACCCTGATATTAGTTCAGCTGGTTAGAGCTAATAGCACCAAGATTGTGGGTTTGATCCCTGTGTGGGCCATTCATTCAAGAGTTGGACATGATGATCCTTGTGGGTCCCTCCAACTCAGACTAGTTGTGATTCTGTAGTGAAACTTAAGSGAACACAGATCTACTCAGAGCAGTTGTCTGTGATTCCCTCACACTCTGTTGCATTTTTTCCACCATGATTCCACAGTCCTGATGTGCTGCTCAAGGATCTACCATCTCCTTACAAGTAGGAAAGGAAGTTCTGGTGGCACTCACTCTCCTTTTCCAGGTACTATCTTTAGTACATGGTGCAAGGGAACAGAGAGAAAATGTGGTGTTGTACCAGGAACGATGTCAACCATCCTGTAGCATTACTGCAGGTAACAAATTTGGTCATTGAGGCCTTAGAATGGCCAACAAACCATAGTAAAAACTAGAAACTTCTGTAGTGATATCTTTTACAGGAATCCTATCAAGACACTTCATAATTCTGGGCATATAGAATGGATATATTCATTAGTATATATTCAGTGATAGTTGTAGCTAGTAAAAAAGAAAATGCTATTTTTAGTGGAAGTAAAACAAATGCAGACTGTAAGTTTCAATAAATCTGGGCTATAAATGGTGTGCACCACATTTTGATCTCTTGCTGGGACAGATAAAAATCTGTCCCATTTAAACACTGCTGCTGGAAAACTCTTCCAAAAAATCAGAAGAAACCACATGTTATGCAATGCAGTGAAGTTCYCAGTTTTGAAAACTGTCTCAACTGCACACATCTGTAATGAAATTTAATGAGGTATGCTGCATTCTACCACAAAAACTATTTGAAGAGCTATTAGCAATTCTGAAAAGGATGCCACATTTAATTATACATATCATTACATGTTTTAATTATTTTTCATAAAATGGATATTTTATAAACACACACCTAGTGAATAATACTTGTTTGGAGAATATTAAATGTTTCTAAAATCACCAGGATTCTGGCGTAGTATGAACAGTTTCCTCTCAGTCCAAATGGTACATTCCAAATTTATTTTTACAAAAAGTTTATGCATTTTATGAAAGACAGGTCATGTACAATATTTCTTCAAAGAATTTCAATTTTTTTCATTGTGAAATTAAAATTAACAATAACTAAACATCACTTTGTTTTCTGAGTACATTTCTATCACTATTCAGAAATACAATAATGCTGGCTACCAATATAGCAACTGCTACGAAAACGTATTTTTCAATGAAAGGTCTTACTGCATTGTTCTTTATTACCTTTTATGTGTTTCTGTCAGTGACTTCTCTTCATTTTCTTGGTCTGTTTTGGCTATAAAAATACAATCAAATAATTAGTAACAAGGTGAAAGATAGAGCTATTTCAGGATAATTTTAATTTTAAATATGTCATGCATAAAATATATAGAAACCACCTGAGGATATACTCATGTAGATCAGTTCTGAAAGAAAAACAACCAACCAACCTCTCTGTTCAACCAACAACCACACAAGCAAAACTACACAAATTCTGATAGCCTTATTAAAAAGAAATCCAAAACCATAACCACAAAAAGTAACCATCACAAAACCCAAAAGCCTTGAAAATGGAAAAAAAATCTTGCAGTAATATAAACAACCACCAAGTCATGAAAGTGAATTAAAAACAGATCTTAAATAATGATTCCAAAAAACTTAAATAATATGTGAACTTGTCTATGAAGAGGAGGAAAAGCTAAATGAAGAGCAGGAAGGATTCAGCTTTATAGCTTTTCTACAAGTTGCTTGACAATTACAAATGAAAACTCTTCCCTCTCCCTGTACACACACCACTTTGGGAAGTACTACAGCTGAAGCAGACACATAATGAAGACATGACTGGTTTTATATGAAGGATATTATTCCATGATAATGTGAAGGAAATTACAAATAAGAAACTGTCACTCCCACACATTAGTGAAAAATTTGTGTATTTGTCACATGCTCTCTCATAATTTTTTTGCATACATTTCATTTAAATTAGATCACTGAAAGAACACTTGACAAAAAATCTTCAAGAAAGTGCCCATTAACTTAGGCATCACCAATGTGCAAAGCAACTGTCAATCTGCTCTGTGCATATACTTAGGCGAAATTTATATTTACAGAGTCATTCAGGTAACACAAATCTCATTTAAGATCTGCATGCTTTAGCAGAAAGCTTTTTTTAATTTGGTACTTAATTCCTCTATTCAGTCTGCTAAACTTCTGGCCTGCTAACTTGCAAGGAGAATTTTAGGATTCCCATGAGTCAGTAGGTTTCGGAACATGAAAAGACTCTAAACTCTCCTGGTAACAAATGTCACTGGTATAAAATTCATACAGAAATCTAAAAAAGAAGAACCCTTTAAGCTGTTTTTTATTCTATACTTTCCCACATAGCTCTACAATAATAATCAAATTTTTCTACATTATAGATATGCTACCTTTGAAAAAGGAAATCCTGATTTTAAATTTGTTATGAAAGAGAAAAGCAATGGCATAATTAGGATACAAAGATAATCACTGTTTTTCTGTTACAGTGTTTCAATCAACAGCTATTTCAAACATATTCTAAAATAGGCATGTGAAATCTGTAGCAAAGATATACAAATAGAATTTCCTTATACTTTCTGCAGTCACAACAATGATCAGAGCTTTGTCCAGTGCTGTAAATGCTTTTTATTAGTAGCAAGCTGAGTAGGATGACCAGTGCCCGGATATTTGCAGCAGAAAACATTATATGTAGTAATCGTCACTTGAAGACTTGGGCTCCTCCATTGTTATGCTGAAAGTGAAAAAAAATTCTCAGGAAACCACAGAAAATTTGAGGGAGAGATGGGTAAATGTTCTCAAGGAAATTGAAGAGCACGTGAATCCACCCTGATTATGGGTTTCAATACAGACTTGAAATTTGGCCCAGATTCTTTAAAAGGTTTGTGAGGGTTCACAACCCTTTTGAGTGAATTTGAGCCCAGTGCTGAGTGGATTTGGGCTGGCTTAGAGCTTTTCTTGAAAGCCCTGAATTGCTTTGGATAAGAAACCAGGTGAAATGTAGCAGCTTTTACAGAATTTTCTTAATACTTTCTTTTCTTTCATGCTTCAATCCTGAAAGTCAAGGTATGACCAGTAAAAACAAATAGTTCAAAAGAGAAGAAACCAAACAAACTCTCTGGATAAAATGAGATCAAATTCTATATTAACACAAACAGTAAGTATCTGTGGGCAGAAATCTTAGAAGTAATTCTATTACTGAAAAATGCAATTTGGACTTCTTTCACTTGAGCGATGCTTAGAGGCTAGCATGTTCCATCCTATGACAGTCTTGTATTCATTGTCACATCCTTAGAATATAAATCTTTTTATAATTTCTAGGATTGATGGGATAGAATAGCATTGGAGCTGCCTTGTTTTAGATCTTTTCCTCTTTATTTCAACCATTCTGCACAATTGTTTACAAACAACTATTTGCCCAGCAATAATGGAGCAAATATTCCACAATTTATTTTTTGAAAGACTGCAAGCATAACTATTATCTTAACATATTATCCTAAACTTATCAAATCATGTCAGAGTAGCCCCATTCTGGCACAAGTTTCCTTTTGATTAAAAAAAGAGAATTACTGTGGTCCAGAGAAGAAGAAAAACAAAACAAAAAGCAAAAAACAAGTTACTTCTGATATCTCTACTTTTAATAAATTCATAGAGAATTGTTACTACATGATGGAAAGAAACTCTAGAAACCTTGAATGGTAGAGATACATGTAATAGGACTTTTTTTTTGTTTGTTTGTTTGGGTTTTATTTTGTTTTTAAAGTAATAAGTACATATGCATAAGGCAGCTACTACACCCACAGAGAGAAATTTCGTCCTGCATCAGATCACCTCTTGGTATTAAATAGAATCCTGCGAGGAAAAGAATTATCTTTGAAGGAGAATTTCCTTGTAGTTTGTTCCAAATTTGATGATATTTTTAAACCTTTCACATGTTATCCAAAAGATATAATTCAGGTGAAAATATAACCTTCAACCCTTTTGCTTTCTCATTCTTTTAGACAGAAAAAGTAAAAGACATTATGAAAACAATTCTGCTTCCACAAGAAGACAGGTGACACCAGTGAAAGAGAAGAAAATTCAGTATATACACTCAGAGATCTGTCCCTGTCCAAAGAAAACAATCAGTGTTTTGCACTAGATTTAATCAGCAAGGGAAGAAAGCCTCCTGTTATCAAAACCATAGAACCTTACTGTCACCTGAGCACAATGGAATAACTATTAGCTGTTGAAGCACCTGAGGATTGTTATAACTTCTGGAATGGACCACTAATATTATCACCTGAAATTAGTGGTTCTAGGTACTTTAGTCTGTGCTGATCACCCCATTAGTAAACTGCTTCTGATTTATTTTCCCTCTTTGAGTAGAGGAAGAAAAAAATTCAGTTATGATGGATTCAGCTGAAGTTTCCCAGAATCCATTATTTTTTATTATTTCATTCAACATAATATATCTTTACTATCATTAGTTCGTCCAAAGCAGGTCATCACAAGTGTAAAAAGAGTGCATGAAAGGCACCAGTCTGGCTTCTTTCTTGGCATGTATCCATTAAGTGCCAAACACCAGATAATAGGTGTCCACCTTGGGAGAACATTCCCGGGAGAAAAGTGTACTTTCTGTTATGAAAGATAACACCCACAACAGGTGAAATTAAAAAAAAAGAATATCCATATCCAGTGATCAATGAAAAAAAAAAATCACACTAATCCAGGGATACCATAGCAACTGACCATAACTGAGCACTCTCTGCTGCCACTAAAATTACTTTATATCTGCAAGAAATAAATTTATTTCAGAAATATTATTTTATTTTCCTTGAAAAGCATTAAATCTTGTAGCTATGCAGTATCCATTTCTGCTTTCATATATATATGGAATCCATCAGCTAATATAGCAGCGACTGCGTGCAGGTGTTCTAACAGATGTAGGAATTTCTGCTCTTGGATTAGTTTTCTTTCCCAAATATTCCATATTTTTTGGCTCATCATCTTTTCTAAAACTCCCAGCTAAGAACTTTTTTTGATTCTTGACACCAATTTGCTAGTGACTCCAAATACACTGTTCCAAATCAATTAAATACTGTATCATACCAGGAAATACTAGCCCCTCTATTTTGTGTAATGCATCAGTAAGCACAGGTAACAATTTTATATGTCAGCCTTCACACTCTCTCTTCACCACCACATATGTTGGAGGGCCTTATATGCAGCTTCCATAATCCTGAAGCCATATATATTCTGAAAAATCTACTTTAAATAATGTACCTGAAAAATAAGCTTCGGTCATACTGAAAAACATGACCATCTCAAAACCCACAGCATTTTAGATTAAAAGTGACCTCTCACAGAACAACGATTACAGCATACTTATCAACGATTTACAGCATATACAGATTTAGTTGTATTTTACCTTTTTAACTTTAAAGCATTTTTAATGCTTTCTTACTGGATAACATTCCATTGTTTGCCTGCTTTTTCCATTAAGATACTTTCATATTATTTAAAGTTGCTCTCCTTTTAGAGCTAGGTCTATACTTCCTAAACACTTTATATATTTGGTCAAAATTCAAGTACATTCCTTCCTCCCTACGTCATTGCTTACCAAGGATGAGGACTGTATTATATCCAAGGCTCTTATATCAATTCTTTTAACAACAGGACATATGTATTTCTTCAAAAATTACTCACATCAGATGTTTTAATTTCTGTTCTACCATTTTTTTTTGTTGCTTAAATTTATGGCTTGATATTTTATAACTGGGGCATAAAACTTGATTCCATGCAGTTCAAAATAAGTTTTCAAACAAGATCTCACCAATAAAGTCTAATTAACTGAATTCTCTATCGTTTCTATCATTATCGGCATATACCTGCATTCCAGAATGATACATGCCATTGTTTCATGTCTTTGGTCTTCCAGTTCTTTTTGGCTAGAGTCCTGCAAAGGTTACATATAAACTTCTACAAAGTTACATACATGAATAACCATATTAAAGCGAGCTCTGCACAGACATTTTAGAAAATGCTGGTATTCAGCAGAAAAGAAAAATTCACGTTTCTATAAACAGCCTTTTTTTAAAGAAGCCTAGAAGATGAATTTCAATTGAAAGGGGTTCAAAGGCAAGGATATAAACTATTTGTTGACCACAAATTTTGCCCTCTGACCTCAGTGGGAAGTGGTATTTTGCATGTGTTATGCTCAGTTCTCTGCAGAAATCAAGCCATGCTGTGAATCAATGCAACTGCCAAGTATCCTCTCAT